AAAAAAAAAAAGCTGGATGTTGTAGAGGGTACCTGTAGACCCAGCTGCTAGGGAGGCTGAGGCAAGAAAATTGCTTGAGCCCAAGAGTTTGAGGTTTCTGTGAGCTATGATGCCACAGCACTCTATGGAGGGCAACAAAGTGAGACTTTGTCTCCAAAAAAAAAAAAAAGAAAGAAAGAAAGAAACTATTTCGGTTTTACTTTATCAGTTTACTGTGAAATTTAGCAAAGATGTGATTAACTTAAGAGTGACTAGTTAGGGAGGCCGAGGCAGGTGGATTGCTTGAGCTCAGGAGTTTGAGACAAGCCTGAGAAGAGCAAGACCCCATCTCTAAAAACAGCCAGGTGTTTGGTGGGCACCTGTAGTTTCAGCTACTCAGGAGGCTAAGGCAAGAGGATCACTTCAGCCTATGAGTTTGAGGGTATTGTGAGCTATGATGCCAGGACACTCGACTGAGGACAATAAAGTGAGACTCTGTCTCAAAAAAAAAAAAAAAAAGAGTGACTATTTAAAAAGAAAATCCAGAGACCATCCCAGGAAAGTCTATAGGAGAAAAATAAGCAACTTAGGGAGAGATTCTGAAGAGCAGTATGAGTCAAATTAATAATAGGATGGGAAAAATAAGAGAAGCATCTAGCATATTAAAGTTGAAATGATTACCTGTGGAATAGTAAAATACGCCTTATCTACAGTCATAATTGGATCTCCTTGCTTGTAACCAAAGTCTGCAAAATCTTTTGGATCAACATGCAAATATACTTCAAAGGAAGAGTCCTGTCTAGGGCTACTGCAAATCAAAAAGAAAATCTGTCACTAACATTGTCAGTGATCATCTGCTGAAACACAATTCTTCCTTTAGGTTTTTCTTTACTTTTTAAATTACAAAGATGAGAGATAGACCAGGTGCAATGGCTCACAGGTACCACTCTCAGAAGACCAGGATGGAGGATACCTTGAGCTTAAGAGTTTGAGACCAGGCTCGGCGCCTGTGGCTCAAGCGGCTAAGGTGCCAGCCACATACACCTAAGGTGGTGAGTTCGAATCCCCAGCCTGGGCCCGCCAAACAACAATGATGGCTGCAACCAAAAAATGGCCAGGCGTTGTGGCGGGCGCCTGTAGTCCCAGCTACTTGGGAGGCTGAGGCAGGAGACTCACTTGAGCCCAGGAGTTGGAGGTTGCTGTGAGCTGTGATGCCATGGCACTCTACCCAGGGGGATAGCTTGAGGCTCCGTCTCAAAAAAAAAAAAAAGAAGAGTTTGAGACCAGCCTGAGCAAGAGCAAGACCCCGTCTCTAAAAATAGCCAGGCATTGTGGTGAGTGCCTGTAGTCCCAGCTACTTGGGAGACTGAGGCAAGAGAATCACTTGAGCCCAAGAGTTTGAGGTTGCTGTGAGCTGTGACACCACAGCACTCTACTAAGGGCAACAAAGCGAGACTGTGTCTCAAAAAGAAAAAGAAAAAAAGACAGGGATAGTAACAAATTTTCAACAATATAGAACTGTAAAATACAGAAAGTTAAAGTCCCTGTGAGAACATGATTCCTCCTGCCCTAGAAAAGCACTAGAACTGTTTACAGTATCAATTTATTTTCACCTCTTCATTTATAAAGTCTTAAGAATGTAAATAAAAGCAAAAAATATAATAATTTTCAATGACACCCAAGACTTTCAAATACTTAATACAAAATAAACTTGCTGACTAAAGTATAAAACTGGGGCGACCCCTGTGGCTCAAAGGAGTAGGGCGCTGGCCCCATATGCCGGAGGTGGCGGGTTCAAACCCCCGGCCAAAAACTGCAAAAATTAATTAATTAATTAATTAAAGTATAAAACTTAATCCTTGTGGGGTGGAATCTCTGAAGAAATGCTGAGAAACATGTAAACAGCCTAATAGGGCCTACTGGAGTGTGGCCACAATATTACTGGAGAACAATGCCCCCTCCCCAACAGCTGCTCAGACACTTACACAGACCCATGATAAAAGTAACCAAGGAAGGGCGTGTTGGCAAGGGACGATTGCACACACAGGAAGGGAAACCAATCAGGGACATGGTCCATCCTCTGTACAGAGCAGAGCTGATCAAACAGAGGATTGACATCTCCTCCAAACACACCAGAGAAACACGACTCTCTGAACAGTTCTGTTACCTCTGATGAGCATTCCTGGAAAGCAAGCAGACAGGAGTAGTGAGGGGACAGAGCTTCCATTGTGGCAGCACTCAGCTTTCCTGGCAGGTGTGATAAACACTGAGGCCAGCAGGACACTTGAGTGAGAAACAAATACAATTTCCTCTCCATCTCATTTAAAAGTGCTCTGTGCCACAAAAAGTACAATACTTGGCTTGGCGCCTATGGCTCAAGCGGCTAAGGCGCCAGCCACATATATCTAAGGTGGCGGGTTCGAATCCCCAGCCTAGGCCCACCAAACAACAATGATGGCTGCAACCAAAAAATGGCCAGGTGCTGTGGCGGGCGCCTGTAGTCCCAGCTACTTGGGAGGCTGAGGCAGGAGACTCACTTGAGCCCAGGAGTTGGAGGTTGCTGTGAGCATGATGCCATGGCACTCTACCCAGGGGGATAGCTTGAGGCTCCGTTTCAAAAAAAAAATGTACAATACTTCTAGTTTTTTTTTTTTGAGATAGAATCTCAAGCTATTGCCCTAGGTAGAGTGTCATGGCATCATAGCTCACAGCAACTTCCAACTCTTGGGCTCAAGGGATCCTCTTGCCTCAGTTTTTCTATTTTTAGTTGAGAAGGGTCTTCCTTTTGCTCAGGCTAGTCTCAAAATGCTGAGCTCAGGCAATCCACCCACCTTGGCCTCCCAGAATGCTAGGATTACAGGTGTGAGCCACCTCATCCAGCCAAAATAGGAACACAGCTGTTTCTAGAATTTCTTTAGTCAATTTCCCAAACAAGCCTCCAAGTTAGGAACTTCAAGCCTTCCAGGGAGCTATAGCATTTCTAGGGACATGAGATGTACCCAGTGAAAAAATAGAAGAAAAAACAGTACTGAAGAGACCGCAAATGGGGACTAAATCAGAGTAAACTTCCATTTTTAATTGCTGTCACCATTCAAACTTCTGGCCCAGAAAGGCCTAAGGATGTTCAGGCTTAGGCACATAGTCCATATTCCACAGGAGCCTTAGAGGCCCTCATCATGTTACAACGCAACCCAATTAATGTCAGTGAAAAGTGACTTCATTCATAAATCCATGTTTTCATCTGTATCCCTTGTTTCACAAGAACAGCAAGAGCTCAAAGTTCAATTATGTCCTGAATCGCTTGTTTACTGAACGTAGAAAAAGGATCTATTTTTTTTTTTTTTTTTTTTGGCTGGGGCTGGGTTTGAATCTGCCACCTCCGGTATATGGGGCCAGCGCCCTACTCCTTTGTGCCACAGGCTCCGCCCAAGGATCTATTCTTTTAAACAAAAGCAATTCAAATTAAAAATAGATCATGCACAAAGTGATGAGTTGTGGTTATCTGAAAATGTATTTTGACATTTCTATTGATACCTGAATCAGATTTATGATGTGCTTTAGTTTTGTTTTGTTTTGTTTTTTGAGACAGAGTCTCACTATGTTGCCCTCGGTAGAGTGCCGTGCTATCACAGCTAACAGCAACCTCAAACTCCTGGGCTTAAGTGATTCTCTTGCCTCAGCCTCTCAAGTAGCTGGGACTACAGGTGCCCACCACAACACCTGGCTATTTTTTGGTTGCAGTTGTTGTCGTTTACCTGGCCCAGGCCAGGTTTGAACCTCCAGGCTCGGTGTATGTGGCAGGCACCGTAACCACTGTGCTACAGGCAGCAAGCCAGCATGCTTTAGTTTTTAATTAAATATAATTGTCACATATTAAGTATAATTTTTAGCACAAGAATTACAACATTAATGCAGACTCTAAACTTTCCTTTTCTGTATTTTAAAAATAAGCATGGCAGTATACTTAAAAATTTGCTAAGAGGGTGGATCTTAAGTTTTAGTGCTTTAACCACAACAAGAAACAAAAAAACCCAACAACCCAAAAACCCAAAAGTGGGTGGAAGGAAGGAGCGATGGAAAGCATAAAGTATTGACTGTGATGATGGGTGCCTGAGTCTACACTTATCTCTAAACATAACAAATTGTGTATCTTAAATACTTACAGTTTCTTGTACATTAATCACTCCTCAATAAAGTGGTTTTAAACAAATAAATTTGCATTTCCCAAGAAAGGGGAGGAAAAAACTGAGCCAAACATAATTGCACTCATCTAAAAATGGGAGTAACGGCTCGGCGCCTATAGC